GAGAGAGAGAGAGAGAGAGAGAGAGAGAGAGAGAGAGAGAGAGAGAGATCGAGTTCGGGATGTTTTCTTTGGTCATAGGTGAACAAATCTGCAAGTAAGTGGTATAACTTAGGGACAAACGTACTCCATATTCTGATATCAAGATGCCTATGAGGGCCAATTAAAAGATCTACAAATAGATACGAGGTGTTTTGTTTTGTTTTGTTGGACGGTGAGTTTTTGTTTGGTTTAGACTATTAGATAGCCTGCTGTAGAATATTCTAGCCTGCTGTAGAATATTCTCTTGTCATGGCAGTGGGGTGTTTGGAAAGTGGCAAACTGAAAGTCTTTAAGGAGCCCCTGGTACTGACAGTTCTTAAAATCCAACACTCTACACTCTACCTGTCATTCTTTTTGTCCATTTTCATTAGAGGCAGAAATTTAGAAACCAAACATTTTTGTAGTTCCAGAATGGGAGATCCGAAAAATTTCATTCATTCAAGGTAGGACCTGTCACTTGGCAACCACCCTGTGTGGGGCAGCCACTTATCACTCTCTTCTTCACCCAGGGTCTTCAATTTCGGCAACCAGGATTGACCTGGATCTTATTTTAGATCTTAGTCAAAAAAAAAAAAGTCTGTGATTCTAAAACAATGAAGCCACATTTGCATGTTCATATGCATGTGCATGAGAGGGGGTTGTGGAAACTACCCGTCTGTTCTGTGCATCTCATGGTGTGGACACACCCCAGAACATTGACTCAGTCTATGCTGAGGCCTGGGTATTGAGCATTTCAAAAGCTTCCCAGTTGATTTAAACAGCAGTTAGCATTAAAAACAACAGTGAATGGATATTTTTGAAAGATCACCCAGTGAACTAGTTCTGGGATGGCCTCCTAAAATCCTATCCATGTAAAGGGTTTTTTTGTTTTTTGGGTTTTTTGTTTGTTTGTTTGTTTGTTTGTTTTTGAGAAATATGAACAATCTGGCAAAATGAGAGTTCTCTTTACTTCATTTTTTAATGAAGAATGAAGTCACTTTTTCATAGCATGCTTATTAGTATAGTTTGTTCCTTTGACAAATATTTTCCATTTTTTGGAAACATCACATTGTGTTAGATGTCACAACAAAATAAAAACAAGTAGAAACAATTGACACCATCCTTAGCGGATATAAGAAACAATGAAACAGAAAATGAATTCTTTTTAGTGATAAGGAGGAAATTGAACCTAATTACTGCACAAATCAAAAGAAGTAGTGGGCCAAGGGGTAATCAGAAATGCTTTGTTATAGGAGGTTTGCTATAGAAAATCTTGGTGAGACTCAAGTGCTGGAAGAACCGCTGCCAAGTCTGACACCCTGATCCCAAGATCCCACAGTGTGGAAGGAGAGAGGCAACTCATGCAGGTTGTCCTCTGACCTCCACATTTGGTGGCATGCAAATTTAGAATGTATGAAAGGCACTTAGCCTCAATAATCTATCTGTTCACTAGTCATTGGCAAATGCATCTATAATTGATCTACACTGTGTACAATAGGTTTTTACATTTAGCACAGGAAATGGGCCCTGCCCTTCAGGAGTTTCTATTTACCCAAGTTCTGGAATGTTAGTCAGCTCTGTTTGCATCATGTTGACTTGGAATCCCATACACATTCCTCTTGGGAAAATCCAGCCCTTTGGGTGACAGCACAGAGCTGTCCATTGA